ATGTTCAGTGCTTATAAGGGCGACATCCCTCGTAACCATGTTCTTGTCCGTATTTTGTCTATTACAGGAATGTTGCAATTAATCTTCCTACAGGATATTCTCAAGAGGTATCGTTTTGATTTGCCAGCGGGCATTGAGCACGATTATGCCAACTGGGAGAAGATATCAACATTTGTCGGTTATTCACTAACTCAAACCCGCGCCAGAGTGAAGAAATTGGTATGTGTATTAATATTATTCCTCTTTTCAATGGAGCAATGGAGCGCTTACGCTTTATTGTTATACAGATTAAAGACAGTATAAAGGCAAATACCAATATATTTTCGCTTGCGCAGATGATTGTTCACTCCACGCCTTGTCGCACGACGATCCAGCTGTGCTCCCGTGTTGCGCTCATGGTAAGTGTCTTCTTGTCCTTTGTCCACAATATTGCCTTCTGAACTGGAGCAATTTTAGCGTGCGGTTCACGCCGAATGCAATGGTGGCGAAAAATTTTGGAATCTGACCGATGCACGCCTTGAATTTATCCGAACAAGAGCAGGATCCTCGGCCTCTAAAACAGCGAGGTGGGCTACCATCCCTTCATTCTTCTTCATTGATAATTAGCTGACATTCTATGCAGGGCATTCAATGAAATCCTGAAGATTGATCGAGCTACATACGGTGCGGCGGAAGAATATGTGATTGGGGATACTGTTCCCGATGAGTGGCAGCAGCGCGTTGATGATGTAGTTGCGGGGATAGATATAGTGTGATAATAACAGGGCATCGATGCGACTTCTTTTGATAAATGCACATTTTGTATGGGCCATTTTTCATGCCGGTCCCAACCTGAGAAACACTGCTCTAATAACCTAACTGACCTTGCTTAAGACAGGTGCCGAGGGCTTGAAATGTTGTAGGATTTTTGTGTTTAACAAATTGTTGAACCCCTCTGCAATAATAACTGACGGTGATTCAGGAGAGTCAGTCCTTGCTGGGTTGAATGATTAGCTACCGCCTTGTGAGTCGGCATGGCTGAAGTGCAATTTGTAACTGCAAACAATGGGCTGGAAATTGTAGCGAATGTTCGCCTTTACAGTGCATCGCACACGCCCCGGTACCAATCTGGACAACACATTCATACGGGCCAGTAGCTGAGCTGTTGAAACATATCACAAAAGCACAGTTGAGCAGACCTGAGACATGATTCTAATAATGTAAAC